ATGGGCACACCTTTTTATATCCTCCGAGATTCCTCGCCACCTCCCCCACACCCCCTTCCCCCTCATCCCCTTCCTCCTCATCCCGAGCCGAGCCCCCAGGGCTAGATGAGCCCCGGCCCGGCAGCGAAGTGCGCACCTCTGTAGCACATCTCCTTGTTGCACTCCTTCGACGTCCCCTTCTCGCCCGTGCAGAAGGCCTTGAAGTTCTTGCACGCCATCGGGCTCTCCTCGCCAAGGGAGCGGGGCGCAGGACGACGGAGCGCCGAGGGAGGGGGGAGACGAAGCGAGGAGGGGGGCAGGGTTCAGTCGGGCGTGTCCCCCTTCAGGGGGATGTTGGGCGAAAGATTAAGGATACCCCGAAAATGCTCCAACAATGCCCCAACATATTCAAAACATAATCCCCATACTATTGTTTGACTATTTTTGAATATCCCCCCTGTAGAGGGACAGGCCCGACTGAAGGGCAGGGAGGGGGAACGGCAGAGGTCAGAGGCTCTGCGACCACGACGCTCTCCCCGGAGCACCCGACGGTGAGGGCAGCGCGGGAGACGCCCGCGCGAGCCCGAGAGAACTGCCAGCGGGTTCAGGCCCCTGGGCTCGAGGCCAGAGCGAGAAACAACACCAGACACATGAATAGAGAGCAGAAGAAAAAAAACAGCCTCATTACGCTACCGATGAACCCCACACACTCATTTTTTGCGATGCGTGCTCACATACAAAATCGTGCTTCGCCGTCCTCCATACACCCTCGCGCTAGCTGCACCCCCAACCAGCATCAGTCATATACGCAATCAACGCCAGACGAACCAAACTGACCAGCCAGACTGACCAGACAAGCAACATCAGCCAGACCAGCCAGATCAGCAATCTCAGCAATCCCAGCCAAACCCAGCCAGGCCAATCAACCAAATAAGTGAGAACAAACATATTAGTCACACCAACAATCGCAGCCAGAATACGCCAGACGAACCACACGAACCAGCCAGGCCAACCAACCACGCCATCCAGACCAACCAGCTCAGACCAACCATACCATATCAAACCGAACCAGACCTAACCAGACCTGACCACACCGACCACACCAACCAACGGCTGCGCGGCCAGCACCATAACGGCCTCTCCAACAACGGCCCTCGGTGGTGTCGAGAATGTGCCGCGCCTGCCATGCCCTGCGCCATGGCCCGTATAAACGCCCCGCTCGGGGACCATTCCCTGCGCACCCCCGGTGGTGTCGAGAATGTGCCGTGCCTGCCACGCCCTGCGCCATGGCCCGCATAGACGCCGCGCTCGGAGACCACCCCCTGCGCACCCCTTACGAGGTCGAGAAAGTGCCACACCTGCCACGCCCTGCGCCATGGCCCGCATAGACGCCGCGCTCGGAGACCACCCCCTGCGCACTCCCTACGTGGTCGAGAAAGTGCCACACCTGCTACGCCCTGCGCCATGGTCCGCATAGACGCAGCGCTCGGAGACCACCCCCTGCGCACCCCCTACGAGGTCGAGAAAGTGCAACACCTGCCACGCCCTGCGCCATGGCCCGCATACACGCCGCGCTCGGAGACCACCCCCTGCGCACCCCCTACGAGATCGAGAAAGTGCCACATCTGCCACGCCCTGCGCTATGGCCCGCATACACGCCGCGCTCGGAGACACCCCCAGCGCACACCCTACGAGGTCGAGAAAGTGCCACACCTGCCACGCCCTGCGCCATGGCCCGCATAGACGCCGCGCTCGGAGACCACCCCCTGCGCACCCCATACGAGGTCGAGAAAGTGCCACACCAGTCACGCCCTGCGCCATGGCCCGCATAGACGCCGCGCTCGGAGACCACCCCCTGCGCACCCCCTACGAGGTCGAGAAAGTGCCACACCTGCCACGCCCTGCGCCATGGCCCGCATAGACGCCGCGCTCGGAGACCACCCCCTGCGCACCCCCTACGGGGTGAGGAAAGTGCCACACCTGCCACGCCCTGCGCAATGGCCCGCATAGACGCCGCGCTCGGAGACTACTCCCAGCGCACCCCCTACGAGATCGAGAAAGTGCCACACCTGCGACGCCCTGCGCCATGGCCCGCATAGACGCCGCGCTCGGAGACCCCACCTCAGCCCCCCACCCGCGCTGCGAGCGCGCGCCGCGGCCCTCGCTGAGCTGTATGCTGTGCTGAGCTGTGCTGTGCTGCGCTCCTTTTGTGTGTGTGCTGTGAATTGTAAGGTGTGCGTGTGTGCGTGTGTGCGTTGTGTGTATGGGTGTGCTTGTGTTGTGCTGTGCTGCGCTGCGCTGTGCTGTGCTGCGCTGTGCTGTGATGTGCAGCTGTGTTGTGCTGTGCTGCGCTGCGCTGCGCTGTGCTGTGCTGCGCTGTGCTGTGATGTGCAGCTGTGTGCTGTGCTGTGCTGTGCTTGCTGTGCTGAGGGAGGTGAGTGAGTGAGTGAGCGTCTCGGGTGGGACGCGGCAGGGAAGAAACCAGAACCCCACGAAACATGTGGGGAATTACAAGCACCCCGACAACGAAGCCGGGGCGGCACCTGAGGCGCCATCAGAGGTCTCTGGCGCCGATCCGATACACCCGCGCGGAATTCCGAACGCCTCTGTTTATGTTTGTGTTTGTCGTGTTTGTCCTTCGATGGGCTAGGATGCGAAGCTGGTGCCAGGAGCGTTGCTTTTCACGGGGCGGGGGACCCCTTCGGGACGAGGGAGACGTCTCAGCCGAAAGAGACGTCTCAAAGCGCTCCTGGACGTGCGGCTTCTGGGGGTCCTGGGAAGGAGCGTTCGCGGCAGCGGCTGCAGCTCATGAGGCGCGCGTTGGTGTTGCACCTGTCGGGAGGATGCCTGTCTGAAGGAGGAGCGACATGCCTCCGCCCTTGCCCGCCTAACCTCACGTTGTCAACTTCGCAGGCCCAACGGGCCAGAGGCGAGCTAAGATCGCAGGTAACTGCCCTACAATATTTCTACTTCGCGCGCGCGCAAGGCGGCCCATGGGGGTCCCAGGACGACAAGTACCCCGGCCGGTTCGGGTCGGGGATGGTTTTCTTTCTAGGCGCCGCCCTCCAGGCCCTCCAGAGTGCTCGAAGGGGGCCCCGGAAGGCCCCCAAGACGGCCCGAAAGGGCTCCCAGTCGTCGAATGACCGGTCCAAGACGCCCAATGTGGCCTTCAGATGGCCCAGGACGCCATTCAAACGCCCTGGGAGGCCACCAAGAGCCCTCCCAGTCTCGCAAGAGGGCCCCCAGAGGCAAAACGTAATGGATTGTCTTACGGTTTTTGGAAGAATTACCCGCGCTCCCCCAAGATCGCCCCAATACGGCCCAAGGGGCCCCCAAGAGGGCCCCAAAACGGCCCCAGAGGGCCCGAAGACAGCCCAAGAGCCCTCCGAGACGGCCCAAGAGGCCGCCAAGAGAGCTCCAAGAGCGGGCCCTGACGAGGCACCCGAACGGACGTTTCAGCTCTCGGCCGCGAAAGGTCCCCCCCAGAAGGCCCCAAGAAGCCCCCAAGAGGCTCGCAAGAGGCCCCAAGAGGCCCCCCAAAGGCCCCCAAGAGGCCCCAGGAGGTCCCAAAAATACAGCCAAGAGGCTCCCCGAGAGGCCTCCCAAGAGACCCCAAGCAGCCTCCCAAACAGGCGTCTTGTCCACGATCAAGTTTGGCCCAAAAGGGCCCCAAGAAGCGATCGAGAGGCCTCCTCCTCATCCTCCCTTTCTCCTCCTCCTCCTCCTCCTCCTCCTCCTCCTCCTCCTCCTCGTCCTCCTCTCGTTCTCGCTCGCCACGAGCATCCCTGACGTGTCTGACCCACAACACACGCACAACGGTGTGATGCGTTCCAGGCGCTCTTCAATGCGCCCAAGATGCGTCCGAGATGCCCAGATGGCTTCCAAGCCAGACCTGGGAGGCCACCAATGCCGCCAAGATGGCCGAAGATGCCTCCAAGACAGCCGAAGAGGCCCCAAAGAAGCCCAAAGAGCGCTCCAATAGGTCCCCCAAGAGGGCCCAAAGAGACAACATTCAGTGATGTTGCTTGTGCTCTTCAATGTTTTGCACGCTACCGCCTTTTCGAGCATCCGAAGCTCCAAGACGGCCCCAGGGGGCCCCCAAGACAGCCCCAAGACGGCCCAAGAGGCCCCCAAGAAAGTCCCAAGACATCTCGAGACGGCCCCGAAACTGCCCAAGATGCGCCCAAGACAGCCCAAGAGACTCCGAAACGGCCCCGAGACGGGCCCAAGAGGGGGAACACGAACCGACAATTCGAGGTTTGCGCCCAAAGAGACCCAAAGCAAGCTCCAAAAGGGCGCGCGATATGAGCCGGGACAATGAGCGAAGCGATTCAATCGTAGTGTCGTGGCACGGTTGGCTCAAGATACGGTCCGGGACCTCCGGAATACCTAGCGACCCTCGTGTCCAGAGCCCGTCCGCAACAATGGGAAATCTGGGAGGCCTTTGAAATCATGGGCATGTTGGAACGGGCCAATATCATGGTGCCTTGCTCCTTTAGATGCCTTTCAGATGGGGTCCAAGTAGATGGGGTCGGAGGATCCCGCCGCGTCGCCAATACATCGCCGATGTATCGGCGATACATCGGCGGCGCACCGGCGACGCACCGTCGACGTCGGCGACGCATCGGCGACGTCGACGTGAAGAAAATCAGGCTCCGCATCGAGCCGCATCGTCGATGCATCGTCGATGCATCGGCGATGCGGAGCGATCCTCCGACACCATCTACTCCGACCCCATCTAGGATGCCTTGCTCCTTGCTCCTCTGATCAACGTCCCGCTCCACTTGCCCAGGGGAGCAGCGTGCCTCTCGGCAGGCCGCGAGCGGGCTGCGCAAGAACATCCTCGCTCACGCGATTCGGAACACTCTGGCGCCGACAGCTGCCGGGCCGCGCGCTCTGTTGTAGACAGGCGCGTTCCACGACTCGCAAAATGACTACTCGCAAAGGACCTGGATCTGCCATGGGGGTATCACGATAGATTGCATCGGTGCAGACATGCCTTTTCTATGACGTTTGCGAGTGGGCACTTTGCGAGTAGTGGAAAGCGCTCGGTGAGTTTTGGCGTCGCAGCCGCGCGCACAGCAGCGCAGCCGAGTCGGGGTCGGGCCCCGGGGCCCCAGGAGGTGCGCGGACCGGGCCAGCTCGGAGGCAGCATGGGGCATGCCGCGGGCAGCACGCACACGCGAACAGATCGAGCTGATGATGCCATGCAGGGTGCCGGAGAGCACGGAGGACCCAAGTGCGCCAGCGCCAAGTACCGCCACGCGGGAGCTCACCGTGCACCAAGAAGCGGCGAACACCTATACTGCTCAACTCGAGTTCCGGCACGCCCCTCCCCCTGGACGGGCTCTTCACCCCCAGCTGCTCCTGGACTCCCGGGGCCCGTGGAGGGCCCTGGGACTCCGAGAGCAGTGAACACCTCGGGATCCGCTTCCCTCAGGGCCCACTTGCTTCATGGCGAGTCTGCCCCGCCTCGTCTTCCTTTCGCCCCCCCGCTATTTCAGAGGGGGGCGGGGGCGAGTCGGCGGGCTGTAGCATCCGACAGTGGCCGGGAGACGGGCGAGCCCGCGACAGCGCGGCGCAAGAGCTGGACCCCCCGGCTCGTGCACGACAGAGCAGGGCGGGAGGGAGCTCGGCACTCGGAGCTCGGTGGCGGCCCAACGTCAGCCGGCAGAGGGGAAGACTCCGATGACGATGCCGATGACGATGACATCGTCATCGGCACTTTCACTCTTTGGGGACACGAGATCTCCTCCGTCGGTACCGCCTGCCTTAGCGCCCTCCTGGAACGCGCGCGAGGGAGCTGGGGTAGCATCGAGAGAAGCGAGAAGGGATGGCCGCGACTTGGGGGTTCTAAAGCGGTGCGGTGACGGACTGCGCGGTGAATCTCAAGAGATCTCACTGCACGGTCTGTCGCAGCGCGTTGGGGCCCTGGAAGCCCCAGTCGCCGGGACACCCTCGGAGAACGATCCAAGTCCCAACACCGTGCGGTCACCCCGAACCCACACTGACTCACCAAACTGGCCATCCTCGGAACGTTTAGTTTCCATGCCATAACTCTGGCCTCCCGCGGCCGCTCCCCCTAAATCCTGGAATTTCCGGAACGCTCTCGGCGAAGGCCCCAGTTCCAGGGTCCGCATGATTACTGCCTCATTTCGGCGTTCACCTTCACACGTTTCATGGCCCCATGAAAGGAGCTTCACCGAAGGCTCCAGTGGCAGGGTCCGCATGATGACTCACCCAATTTCTGCGCACCCCTCACTCACTCACTCCGGGGCCCCACAGGGAGCTACGCCGAAGGCCACTGTGTCAGGGTCCGCGTGGTTACCAGCCCCACTTCGGTGCACACCTCACACAGTTCGGGTCCCCACAGGGAGCTCCACCGAAGGCCCCAGTGACAGGGTCTGCATGGCTACCTTCCCAATTTCAAGCGCACCCCTCATAAACTTCGTGGCCCCATAGGGAGCTCCGCCGAAGGCCACAGTGCTAGGGTCCGCGTGGTTACCCGCCCCATTTCGTTGCACCACTCACACTTTTCGTCGTCCCATATTGAGCTCCACCCAATGCCCCAGTCACAAGGTCCTCATTGTTATCCGCCTAATTTCGGCGCGCCGCTTCACACGTTTCGTGGCCCCGTGGGGAACTCCACCGAAGGCCCCAGTGGCAAGATCCGCATGGCTACCCGCCCCGTTTCGGCGCACCCCTTCACACGTTGCGTGGCCCACACGGAGCTCCACCGAAGGCTCCAGTGGCAGTGTCTGCACGGTTACCCGCCCCATTCTGGCGCACCCCTCACACGTTTCGTGTCCCCATGGGGAGCTTCACCGATGAGCGGGCCTGTGAATAGTTCCCATTCGTTTAGAGAGGGTTGGGGTCTTCGCCAGGGTAGTTTTATGCGTATGCCTTTGCTTGTAGCCCTAAGGACGAGGGAGGGAGGGAGGCAGGGAGAAGGGAGGAGCCCTGAGATTGGACGACGCGAAACGCTTGCAACATTTTGAAAGAGGGCGCCTGGAACCCTGAACCCCATCGTTCTGCGGCAGTGTTCGAGCCCGATCGATCTGCGAGGGTCCAGGGGCCCGAAATAGAGCGAAAACGCACGGCTCGACAAAAGTTGAAACGCCAGGATCTCAGCGAGGGGGGAGGAGGCAGGGATGCAGGGACGAGGGAGGGAGGGGAGGGCAGGGAGGGCGGACGACGAGCAAGGGCAGGCACCTCCGGAGGCCCCCCCCTGCCCTCCGTCGGCGCACCGGCACGGTCTGTTCCAAAGGTCGAGCGGGCCCGCCGCCCTGGAGCCCGACCGAGGGCTCACGCGCCGCCCGCCTCCGTCTGCCGGCTGCGCGCAGGGAGCGACCCCTCGAGGACCACCGAGGCTCGAGGACCGCCATGGATCGAGGATATCGAGGACCATCGAGGGCCATCGAGGACCCCACAGGGCCACAGGTCCAGGCCTCGCAGATGGGGTCAGAGCAGACGGGGTCGGAGGATGGCGCCGCATCGCCGATGCATCGCCGATGTGGCTCGATGTGGGGCCCGACCTTCCCCACACCGACGGCGCCGATGCATCGGCGATGCGGCGCGATCCTCCGACTCGATCTGGTTACTCGGAACCTATGTTCAGGAGACCTCTAACAGGGAAGACCGAGGATCATCGAGGATCGAAGCTCGAGGTTCTTGGGCGCCTCCGGCGGGGCAGAAGTCGCCGTGAGCGAAACGGGTCCCGAGGAAAGCGCGTGCCCCGTGGTCTTCTCTCGTCGCCCTCGATCTCCCGAGGCCCTCCCAAGGCCCAGGGTATGCCGGAGAGGACCCAGGGACGAGATACCGGTCCAAGGCCAGGGTCCACTGCGGGCCCAGGGCTGGCTTCCCTCGGGGCCCGTTCAGCAGGCGGAGGAGAGAAGGGGCGCGGATGCTGGGCGCGACATGGAGGGGGGGAAGAGGGGTGCCCTTTTCGGGACCTTTTCTGCAGCCCTTGCTGCCCCCCCCCATTTATCGCCCCCGCATGACTTCGCGCCCCACCCTAAGGATGGGACGGGATCCTGGGTCGAACGCATGCTTTCTGAGGCCCCTCGTCTTCCGGGCTCCATCTCGGACCCCCCGATGTTCCATGTAGGGGGCATGCCATGTCCAGCCCGCACCGCATCGGGACATCGGATCGGATCGGAACGTGCGTCGTATCGGGCTGCATCCACACGGCATCGGAATCGGAGCCGAATTGGCTGCGCCAAGATGCACCACAACGCCGTGCAAACATCGTGCCGCAACGGATTGCTGGAAGATCGTAGCCGAATCGGATCGAGCCGGTCGGAACCGATATATCGACTCGGACCGATCTCATCAAACTGGACCCTGGCCAGGGGGGGTAATAGTTTTACTCCCAAGCACGCAAGCAGGGCTGCTTCACCGCACTCAGCGATCGGGGGGCTCCAGTGGGATCCCACTTGGCCCGCACCAGACCCAGACATGCGATTCCTTGATGCTTCCAATGCGGGGTTCCCAGAAGTCCCGACCCTCTCCCCAGGGCCAACTCTGCATCCCAAATGTTCTTTGGGCCGTCCTGCGGCCCGGCGAAAACTCCCGCAGGCCGACAACGGCCAAACATCTCCCGCCGTGACTTCTGTACACGACGCGTCATGTTTGTTTTGGGGGCCATAGCTCGGGTCTCTTGCGGCCGTTCAGGACGATTCTGGCAGCCCTGGAACGCCCCCGCTGAGGCACGCCTGCTGGAACGCATCCCGATGCAGGACCTGTATAGAGGCACAAAGATCCGCATAAACATAAACGTTTGGCGCTCCGCGCGGATGTCTCCTGGATCGGCGCTGGACCCCACTCTCTGGCGCGCAGAGCGAGCCAGGGGCGGCGCCCGGCGCCGAAGGCGCCGCCAAGGGGGCCCAGCGCAAAGCCAAGATATCCGCGCGGAACTCCGGATGATTATGCTCGTGCAGTTTTTTGTTATTCGACGTCTTGGGGATCTAGGAACCGACGAAAACAACCAACAACCTCGGCCATGTCTGGATTTGGGAGGTCTCAGCGAGGGATCATGTGCAAGACGGAAAATTTGACAGTTTGGTTTCAGAAGGGGGACTCAACGGTTCCCCTGGTCCTTCCGTGCGTCTTGCCTTGGGCACTCCTTGTGGCAGGGCTTGAGCTGTGTGCGCGATGTGCTGACACGGGTCAATCCAGACCCGGGCTGGTCGGGCTCGGGGAAACCAAAAACCAAAAAGTACCCATACCTCTACTCCCCACGGAGATCTCTCCTGGGGTGCGTTCTGACCAGGATTCGGAGGCGAAGCCAGCGGTGGCGACAAGGGCCTCCCAGAGAAACGCAAGGGTAGCGATATCGGTACCACTTCTCACTTCGAGCTCTTGCGCGCAGCCGGGTCTGGATGTCGAGGCCCAGCATGCGGCTGTACCACTTGCGGCGCTGCACGTCGCCCGACAGCGCGGCCGAAGCCTCGAACAAGGAGCTCACCCGGCCGCCTGCGGCCGTCCACCGCTCGGCCGCCGGCACCTTCGCCAGATCGTCGACGCTCATGCCCTGGACGACCTGTGGGAGGCGACTTCGGGAGGCTCCGTTGGCGACTCGCATCCTCGGACTTTGTCCACGCCCTCCTGCCGTGCACGCCCCGCTCTGGCAATCACGTTCCAGGGCGTCCTGCTCTGAGCGTGCTTCGCCTTCTTCTCCCCCGAGCTCGCCCGCGCTCTTCCTGCTCCTGGTGTGCCCGATCAGGCTCTGGAGCGTCCCCCGCTGCCCCGAACGCGTCTTGGACCCAAGTCGCCGCTGACCAAAAAACGTGAGAGGCAACTTCAAGGAGGTCTTCGTGAGAACAATCACAAGCTAAAAAGAAGGATCATACTAAGGTGAGGGCATTGGATAAGGAACCCTTCGATAAGGAGCCCAGGGTCTGGAAGCTGGCGGGAAGCCAATCGAAGCTTGACCATGGACGAAGCCCTTCAGCACACGCGCCCAAGGAAGGGACTGAACATGGCGGGGCTGTTTACGCCCAGGGCTGTTTAGTAAACGCAAGCTGTGGGGGTCGAGGTGGCTGTCCCTCCCTTGACAGAAAGACCATCAAACCATATTAGGCGGAGTAAGCTCGGGAGTAGGCCAGATTGAACGCGGTCATAATCAAGATGAAACCGGATTGCATGGAACTATGTTGGATTAGGCCTGCTTCGACCACGGATATATATATATATATATAGATATATATAGATATGTGTATACCATCTACCATATACCCGCGCCGATCCTGAATCGACCCACCCAAGAACTGCAAACAAATGGACCTCACGACACGGCCAGGACCTGGGCAAAATTTTGCCAGGACAGCTCGGGGATCTCTGAGATCTGGCGGCTCTGGAGGAAGTATCGGACACCACGGTTTTGCCACAACGCCCCGGGAGGCTCTGAGAGCGTTCTGGGACTCTCTGTAACGATGGATCCCGGTCCTCGAGAAAGGCGATACAGTCGGACCGAAGCCAGAAGAACATCCCTCAAGAACATGAGACCCTCCGTCGGCCAAAACAAACAGAACATCCAGGGGTACCCTCCCCAGAGTGCACAAGAACATCCGACAACAACGAAGTACACTAAGGTACCCCCCTCAAACCGAACTCGATCTTATACCTCGGTCCAACTGTAGAGAAAGGCGTTAACGCCAACTTCCGGTCGGAGACCTGCGCAGATTTGTGGGATCGATGCTGGGTCCGTCTCCCCGGCGCGCGGAGGGCGGCAAGAGCTTTGCGGGGGGTCTGGCGCAGATCCACCAAACAAATGAGCGGAGTTCCGAACAGAGATGAGGTTCATGCCTGTGCTTGTTTTCGGCGGGAGGGGTGGAGGAGGGAGGAGGGCGGGAGGAGGAGGGACAAGGGAGGGAGGGAAGGGAGACAGAGGGCGGAAGGCGAGGTCGCAGAGGGAGGGAGGAGCGACAGTGGGCGCAGAGGGCGGCAGCTGATGCTCGTGTGCACGTGCTTCCTCCGTCGAGGCCTCCAGCGCCCCGAGCCTCAGCAGCTTGCCCAGGATCCCGGGCATGAGGAGGGTGAAGCCGTGCAGGCGCAGCGGAGGCTCCCCGTCGGCCACCTTTCGGCGGTGCGCAGGAGGAGGGGGGGGGGCACTGGGACAACCGCCTGGACGGCTGTGGGGACAGGGGGGCGGGGGCCAGTCCTGTAGGCGGAAGCCAGAGGCGCGCCTCCTCATCTGGTCAAACCTGGCCTGTTGGTGGGCTTACACTACTGCCACTGCAGTGGCTCAGAGGTGGTTGGACACAACTCCGCTGGGTGGGCGGAGCCCACTTCGCTCCGATCGCTGCCCCACCCAAACCAAGTGTTTGGACGCCCGATATGGGTACGGAAAATATGGGCACAATGCCCAACAACAACTGTTGTCCCAAACCAACAGCGGCCGCTGTTGGGCAGGCAGCCTTCTGTCTCGAATGGACACAGGCCGCGGCGGCGTGGACAGCGAGTCCTGTTCAAGATGAACAGGAACTGCTGTTGGGCATTCTACTCATTCTTTCCGTACCCATCTCGTTCGTGCCGAAAGTGGGGCCACCCGCAGCCCGCTTCTTGGCCAGGCCGGGCCAGCCGCGGCCATCCAGCCAGGGGCGGGGGCGGCCCTTCGAGAGAGGCAGACCTGCTCGCGCCGAGAACCCTCAACCACGGCAGGGAAAGTCTGTGGGCGCATTCTGCCCCCGGGGCCCTCGCGGCCGTCAGCCACGGCTCGGGGTGACAAGCCGGCCCAGGGGACGGGGTCGGGACTTCCGGGGGCCTTGCCTTGGAGCAGCCAGGACGTCGGATCTCTGGGGAGCACGGGGGGGGGCCTCCTGGAGTGGCTTCCTGCCTTCCTCCCCCGCTTTGCAAGCCCCGAGGGTGCCTCCTCGAATGGTCGGCGGGCTTCTGAGAGGCGGGGGCGCCTCTCAAAAGAAGGCCACTGGCCCTCCTCCCCCTAGCCCTGCCCCTTACTGCCCTGCGGCGCCAGACCTCGAAGGTGCTCTGGCCGTTCTCGCCCAGGCCGTTGAGGCCGCCGAACAGCACCTCGTTGCCGTCGGAGGTCTCTCCGACCTTGGGCCCGTTGAGCAGCCCCAGGATTGACGGCTCCTCCGGGGAGGGAAAAAAGGCAGAAGGAGGGAAGCATGCTGGAGGAGGGAGGCCAGAGGAGGGGGGAGGAGGATGAAAGTGAGGAGGAAGAAGACGACGAAGAGGGGAGGATGAGGGAGGATAAGATCAGGTTAGGCTCGGAGTTGCGCTGTGTGCCGGGCTACGCGTGCCACCGTCGCGTGCGCACCTGCATGCTGGCGGAGGAGGGAGTAGAGAGGAATGAGGAGAAGAGAGGGAGAGGAGGGAAGAGGGAGGAGGAGCAGGAGGAGGAGGAGAAGCCAGGAAGAAGGTAGAAGAAACGGGGAGGGGGAAGCGCCAAAACGCACAGCTCCTCCTGTGTGGCCTCCTGCAGCAGCATGAGCACCGACTTGTGCAGAAACTGCGCGGGGGGGAAGCGCCGGCTGGTGAAGGCCTCGTCCTCCGCTGGTTTCCCCAGGAGCCTGCATGCGGGGGAACGCTGGGAGGGGACTGGCTCAGCGGGTGAAACGTCGACCTGGAATCGGCGAGGTGCATCGCCGACGCCTTGCCAATGGGCCCACGATGGCGAATCCGCACAGTTCTGGGCGGGGCGGGCTATGGGGCCCCTGTCGGCCACCAGAGGGCGCTTGGGGGTCGGTGCGTCCCTCCCTCACTGGCCATCGCTCGGACGTCCATTCCCTGTGCTTTTTTTAGGTTTCGTGCGTGGTTTTTTGTCGCAGGATGATCCAGGATGCTCCTCAATACTTCCCGCCGAGAAAGAGTGCACACGTCCGAGCGATACCAAGCTTAAGCCCATGATCCTCCAACGCTGCCCTTGTGGCTTCTGGGTCACACCTCGGCCCTCTGGCGGCCCTTCGGGACGCTCTGGGTGCCCGCGGACCGTTCCGCTGGAAGACGTCCAGAGGCGGGCAAACCGCCGAGTACCGACGAAACGCGCGACAACGTAGAGTCTCGAACCCAGACCAGAAACCTCGACCTCCGAAATGCCCGCCTGAGCCCTCCACCCCCTCCCCTGGACCGGGTGCGCTTTGACCAGAAGATCGAAACGGATACAGTTGCGGGCACGAGGGCGCCCCAGGAAATCAAAGAAATCCAGAAAGGGGCGCCCAGCGCCCCAGCCTAATGTGAGTCCAAGAATGGTGAAACAAAACCCTTTGGGCCAAGAATAATAAGATGACTTGGGCGGCCCAAGATCGCCGGAGTCACGTCTCGCGACATCACACGAATCATAGCAAGCAACAGAAAAGGAAACGCCAGAGCTCTGCAGCCGCCGCAGTCGAGCGGGGAGGGGAATCGTAAAAGATCTTTCGCCGCCAGGAGCGCTCCGCCCACCCCCCGAGAAAGGGTGCTTAAGACAAGGCAGACATAGGACGGAAGAGCTTCTGGGGCGGCCACACCTGGCACTCCCCACCCAGGAGCTGACGAGCGGCCCGACCGCCAGAGCCCCCTCCGGAGCCCGAGGTGGCCCTTCTCTCAGCAGCTTGACTGCAGGAGCCGGTGAGGGAGCAGGGGCAGGAAGATGGCAGGCATGTTGGGCGTCGCGGGCTGGGGGGCGAAAACTGGGGGCGTGTGTGGGGAGAGAGAGAGAGAGAAGGGTGCACTTCTCGGGCCCCGGAGGCCCCCCGTTGGGAGCCCCGAAGGCCCCCACCTGGGTGCCCCGAACGAGGGCCCCTGCCGCTGCAGCCCTCGCCGCCCCCCTCACTCAGCGCCCCCTCATTATACGCGACGCCCGAGCATCTGGGGGACGGGCAACATAGAGTCCGTTCCACGCTCGCGCGCGCGCGTCTGCGCTGGGCTTCCTCCCCCCCCCCCCGGGAGCCATGCCGTCGCCGACCCCCTCGGTGGGAGGCCGCCAGCCAGACCCCAGCACCGACCTCCGGCGAGGGCCCGCCCGGGGCCCGGGGGCAGGCCCTGCCACGAGCGCGAGGTGCGAGCAGAGGAAGACCAAAGGCAAGCAGGGACGGATGGGCCTGTTTTCCACCACCACCACAAGCTGGAGGGGGAGGGGGTCCTCATCCCCCTCCTCCTCCTCCTCTTCGTCGTGGTGGTTGTGGTAAACAAGCCAAGCAGGGACTTTCGGGGGTCCGCGCGGATTCTCTGGCGCTGGAAGCCCCTCCCTGGCGCGCGGAGTGCCTAGAAGGGCGGCGCCGGAGGGGGGCGTTCCTGCAGCGCCGATCAAAAGAATCCGCCCGGAACTCCGCCAGTTTATGCTTACGCAGTGTTTTCCTTGAGCAGAGCGCGGTAAGACATCGGCGGCTCAAAATCTGTCCCCATACCCCTTCTAGGATGCAAACGCATCAAACTTCCGATCTGCGCCCAGCCGTGGCGACGAGGGGCCCCTCTCGAGGGCCATTTACCGCTGCACCAACTCGCCCTCCTCTGATTCTCCTCTTCGGAAGATCGGTGCTGGTACACATCAGCTGGCGACCCCCGCGAAGCCTCAGGATCGTGCCCGCGCCCAGGTTCACCGGCTCCGGGGCAGCCACGAGACTGGCGGCGGCGAGCTGTGCCGCCGGCGCCCGGAGCGGCAGCGGCACCAGGCAGCGGTCTATCCAGCGCCTCGTGAGGGGCCAAGTTGGGCGGGGGGACCAAACGGCTCCCCCGCTCCTCTGAGGATAAACGCCAGGGGGGGAAACCGAAGTCTCGAGGTTCGGGGCTTGAGGATCTCGGACGTTTTCGTTGGTCCCTTGTGGTGTATCAGCCTTGGGATGCCTTCCAACGGCTGCGCCTCGCCGATGGGTGTCCGGGGCTGCCCAGATCGCCCCGAACGGTTGCCAGAGGATCGGGTTATGACCCGAAACCACTAAGGGACCGGCTCAGGGGGAGAAGCATCGACCTGGAATCCGCGATGCATCGTCGATAGATCGACGACACGCCCCCGATAGCAAATTCGCACGCTCCTGGGCGGGGCCGGCGAAGGGGCCTCTATCAGCAATGAATGGGCGAATGGGTGTCGATGCATCCCCCCCGAGCCTATCCCCCCTTAACGCCCCTGACCTAAGCATGTCGTCGGTGTGGCCGTCGTCCTGGGACGCCCTGGCGTCGCCGAGCCGCTCACGGAACGCCGGGCCGAGGGCCGTGTACAGCCGCTGCCAGTCCTCAGTGCCGTCCCCCAGGTCCTCGAGGGCCCGGGTGGGACCCATACTTCTTCTGCGGTGGGCACATGCGCTGCGACATCTTGCTCTACAGTTTACATGCTCGATTAAACACCGTGCTATAAGGAATCTGCCGACCCTGTCGGCGTGTGTGATACGCTTTTCCGTTTGAATCGTCGTCGTCGTCGGAGCTCCCCCGATTGACGCGTTTCCGTTGGATTCGTCGTCGTCGTCGCCGTCGCCGCCCCCTCCTTTCCCTGGGCCCTCCTCCTCAAGCGTTCCAGCCAAACGGAAATCAAGCAACTGAAGGGGCCCTGGGACACACAAATAAATACACACAAATAGCAGGATTCCCAATATTTTCAAATATTTTCTTGGTTTTTGTCTTCCCCCCGCTTCCCATAGTTTCTTATATTTTCCGGGGGATCGACGATTAATGGTGTCTGTGTTTTTTCCTCTCCTGAGCAACGTCGTAATCGAGTCGAAGGAGAGCCCCTTTGCTGTTCCCTTGATCCCTCCCCCCGCCCCAGGGGGAGGTGGGGTCGTGCACGGGGGGAGGTCCCGAGGGTTGTGACGCCCCAGAGCATCCCTCCTTGGGAGGAGCTTTCCCCAAGGATTTCTTGCCTCCCCGACGCCTCGAACGCACTTGCACTGCGAGGCGGGGATTTATCCATATCCACCGCCTGGGAACCGACGTCCTGGTGCCCCAGCGTGCGGTGGGTATGGATATAGTTCGGCCCCCTGGGGCCCGAATATGTCCATGTCCACCGCCTGCCGAGGCTCCGAAAACTGACCCTCCAGGCCCCCAGGCGGTGGATATGTATAAATTCCCGCCTCGGATTTGCACCGCGGCTTGCTGCAAGAGGGCCTTGACACAGCCCAAGATCGCCCCACGCCTGGCAAAGATACCATCAAGACGGAGACCCCGAGGCGCCCAAAAGAGCTCCAAGAGGAGCACCAAGAGGGCTCCAAGAGGTGAAATCGCTTATCTCCATTAACTGTTTCTATGTTTTGGCGTTCTCGTCGTGTCGTTGCATCCGACGACGCTCGAAAGCGGCCCAGGAAGTTCCTCAAATCGCACCAAGGCAAGACGGTCCAAGAGGCTGCCGAAAGCCCCTAGGACAACCCGAGACGGCCCCAACACGGCCCAATGCGGCCCCACGACGGGCCAAGAGGCCCCCCAGACATGGGAAGAGGGTTCCAAGAGGGTTCCGAGAGCCTCTCGGGAGCCTTTCGGGAGCCTCTCGGGGGCCTTTGCGGGAGCCTCTCGGAAGCGTCTCGGGGCCCGAGGGGCTCCCGAGACGGGGAAGACAATTTCGAGCCTTCCGCCCCAAGAGGCCACCAGGAGGCCCCCAAGAGGCGCCCAATAAGCTCCCAAGAGGCCCAAGAGAGCATCAGGATAATTCCCAAGACAACCCCAATATAGCACAATCAATGAGTTCCCTTGCGTTTTAAAATGCCTTTCGCCGCCGCCGCCGCCGTCCTCCTCCTCCTCCTCCTCCTCCTCCTCCTCCTCCTCCTCCTCCTCCTCCTCCTCCTCCTCCTCCTCCTCCCCCCCTCCTCCTCTTCAGGGTCGGCGGCACCGGCCGTAAGGCCTTCGCGGGATAGGGGCAACCTTGCCATCGAGCGATCTAAGAGCTCCCCAAGGTGCCCCGAAGCTTCTGTGGCTCCCCTGGGCCGTCGGGGGGGCAAGAAACTTCCGCGGGGTACCGGCAGGCGAGGCTGGCCACTTGCTTGACATGCCTACTGCACAGTACCGTAAGACACCGCAGGGCGCCTCCTGCGTCGACTCGGAGCTTCTTCTGGTGCCCCTGGGCCCTGGGGCGCTGCGGCGCCCCCGGGGAGCCAGTCGGTAATCGTGGGGCACCCGTGTGCCTACAGTCTACGCGCAGAGAGCCGGCTTCGCGACGTGCCTGGGCGCCCCCGGGCCGCCGTCGGGCCCGCGGGGACTGTCGGCAGACGCGAACAGGAGTCACGGCGTCGGACGCCCGGGGACGTGTATTTCCTCCCCTTTTGCTGCGGCAAGTTCGTGTCGAGACGACCTCAGCGTTGGTCTCCGACACCACGTGACTCGGTCCACCTTGAACGATCGGCAACACTCCGATTGCGCAAATCATTCGATATCGGCCGAGTCGGGGCCGCTGCCGGCAGTCAACCTTGAACGCCTGCGCTGGGGTCGCCGCCGCGTCGACACGACACGAACCTAGCGTTGCTGTTTTATTGTTTTGTGAACGGAGGCGACGAGCGTCGTGAGTGGGACGGCGGGTGACTGGGCGTCCCAGGGACTGCGGCCTCGTGGCCCCGCGGGGTCCCCGTCTCCTCGGCCCGGCACGCAGGCCCAGTGGGGAAGTAATAGACAACAACATCGGAGTTGATAGGGCTGGAGGATGGCGCCTGAAATATGGCCCCAAGATGGCCTAACATGGCTCAAGAGGGGCCCAAGAGAACCCCGAGACGGCTCCAAGAGCGCCAAGAGGGCCCCAAGAGGACCCCAAGAGACGCTTCTAACGGCTCATGAGGGGGACCCCCCCTTTGGCCTCCAAGATGACCCCAAGAGGCTCCCAAGAGGGGTCCAAGAGGGTGCCAAGACCCCCTACACGAGCCCCAAGGTGCCCCAAGAGGGCACCGAGAGAGCCCCAAGAGGACCCCAAGAGGGCCTCAAGAAGAACAGCTCTCATCGGCATCGTTTCTGAATGGGCTGGTGGGTTCGCACGAAGCGTGAAGAGTTCGGAGCAGATAGGGTCGGAGGCTGGCGCCGCATCGCCAAAGTCCGCTCCACGCACGAATGAGCATAGGCGAGAGTAAGCCTGGGTGCGCGGCTTACCCATCGTTGCATGCGATGCGACAAGAGCGGCCTGCGTGCATGGGCTTGGACCCCCCTGGCGCCCGCGGAACGCCGCGAACCAAAGGTCATTATGGCGAAGGGTCGCTCTCAAGTGCGTGTAACCGACGATGCATTGGTGATGTGTCGGGGACGCCAGGATGGAACGCATCGCGCTCTGGATCCCGCCGTATCGCTGATGCATCAGTGATGTATCGCGACGCTCCAGCCACATCTAATCTGTCCTCATCTGGGCGGCCTGGAACAGTGGCCCGCGCCACGTTGTCGTGAGAAGGGGTGGGCCAGGGGTGCGATGACACCGCGCAGCATCGCCAGAGCCAGAAACATAGACTGGAGACTCTCCCTCTGGGAGAGCATCGACCATCCACCGACACCAGTCCTGGCCAGGCCAATCCTGGGCCCAATCATGGTTACATGCGCCTATGCTCGGCCTGGCGGGCGTACGCGCCTGTCCTGGGAGCAGGACTGCACTGGCTAAGGAAGAGCGTCGCGGGTGTGTGGCCGGTGTACCCCTGAGATCCACCATCGCGCACGCGCAAAAATGCAACATCGTGACAGTGAGATGCCATCGCTTGGACGTCCGTCCCCGCTGCATGTTCGGTTTCTTGCATGCATTTTGTTGCCAGATGGTCGAGGATGCTTGTCGAAGGTGCCCGCCGATGAAAAAATGCACACGTCCGAGCGTTGACAAGGTGAAACGTCACGACCTGGGCTCCAGATCCGTCTGAGATGGTCCCCGGGCCCGAAGTTGGCCGAAAACTCCCGGTGTGGTAAAATTGCGACTCCAGGATCTCAGGGCGAACTACGGTCAGGCACTTTTGCTTAGCGTGTCGCGGCGGCGGTGGCCCCGGCGACACGCTATGCCGTGCGAGCTGATAGCGTGTCGCTCCGCTCCGCGGGGCGGGAGGCTGGGAAAAGCTCGGGACATTGGCGCTTGGAAAGGGGGGACATGGATAGCGTGTCGCCGTGAAAGCGTGAAAGGGGGCGTGGAAGCGTGGTGAGCCAGAACCGTCGGAGCGACACGCCAAGGCAAAGTGCCTGACCGTATCCAGACATCCGACGTGGCGATCTGCTCACCCCGCGGAGCTCCACGACGCTCTCGGCCCCACCGCTGGTACGGCGGATCTCGCTCTCGCCACGGGGCAGTGACTTGCTGTCTTTGGGCCCTCACTGGGAGTGGAGGAAGAGGACATCGCAGAACCACAAACTTTCGGAGGTCTGCGCAGATTTCTTTGATCGGCGCTGGACTCCCCTCTCAGGGCGCGCGGAGCGGGCCAAAGGCGGCGCTGGAGGCGCCGCCAGGGGGATCCGCAATCCGCGCGGACCTCAGAAGGCTTACGTTTATGGCGTGTTTTTTTTTTTTTCTACGCGTGCGGCCAAGGCTCAGAAGAGCGACGGTTAAGGGCAGGTTGGGGGGCGATGCTGCCTCAAGCATCCGATGTCTTGATTTTCGTATACACGGGGGGTACTATAGTTTTGACCATAAGACGTCATGCTGTCGACGCCCCCTGCCCCCCCCCGTAGAATCTTAGCGACATGTTTTGGGTCGGGCGGCGGTTCGACTCCGATGGGCTCTCACCCTGTAAGAATATAATAATATATATTTAAAACAGGGTGATAATTACTCCGTCCCATTCACAATAGGGCTGGAAAACACTCCGACTTGAACCCATTCACAGTAAACCACTCCGCTTGGGTCACGCTTGATCGTCCGCGTCATCATCCCCATCGACCCTGTCCTTATCATGCCAACGCGATGTTTCATTGTATTCCTTGTTGCATTGATGCTGTGAGACCCTGGGCATCCTTCTCCAATGCGGTCGCTCTCGGTTCACTGGTTGGCCGTCCCAGAGGGCCCACAAAGGCTCGCGAATCCGCATCAAGGCACCTTTGCATCCTGATCGGTCCTCCGCGGCACGCGTGACCAGCGAGGCAATTCTCATCTTATGGTCAAAAACTTTAGTACCCCCGAAGTATGTCGCCGTGCCGATTGTCTCGACGCGCCCAAGTGGACGACGCCGACACCACCGCAAACCTGCGGCAAACCCTGCGCCCCGCGCCCCAACAAACGAAGCCAGCGCCGCGGCAAGCCCACGGCAAACCCACCGCGCCCGAGGCGGTGTCTGCGCTGACGCCCGCGGCGCCCTCCCCACGGCGGAAGGCCGCGCGTCGGAACAAACGGC